TTCTTGTGCATTCTGGGAATTTTCAGATTGCACCGCCCAAAAATTCAAAAAATGAATTCGGTCTGTGGGAGTCTGTGAGAGAACGCCAATTCTGACAGATTCCAGGGCCACGTTGAGGGGCCCTATCCCACCACCCATGGTTGCTTCTGGACATTTTTTAGATTTGGATCCCGCGCACGGACAGAATGAAAAAAATTCAAAAATTGACTTTGGTCTGTTGGAGTTTGTGATAGAACGCCCGCTCCTGCCGTTGTGACAGATTCCAGGGCCACGTTGAGGGGCCCTATCCCACCACCCATGGCTCCTTCTGGACTTTTGTTAGGTTTGGATCCCGCGCACGGACAGAATGGACAAGAAAATGTTAAAAAAATTTGTAAATGCATTTTTGGGCTCCTGGGTGGCTCGCACACCGTGGCACTATGCCAGAATGTTGAGTTTTTCCGGCCTGGAAAGCCTGTTGGTGAGGCGCAAGAACTTTTAAATTATGTCCAGAGGGCCAGCATAGTGGCAGGAGTTTGTGGTGAAACTTTCACTCAAATCCATTGAGAGACACCAAAGTTATGTTCAATTGAATGCCATATGCTCATTATCCACATGTCCTTTGCGTCTCTGTGTTTTTCACTGTTTTTATTTGACATTATCTTTCTTTACGGAGTTGTTGTTGCTGTTCGTTTTGCTACTCTTTCTTTTTCCCTCCCCTTATTTCTATTTATCGCCGTGGTTGGCAATCACCCACTCTCGTAATATTGGCCGGTGTTTCCGCCGAGTCTTGAGATGTTGCAATAAATAAATAAATATGAAATTTTTGGGTGATATGCCACCTTAAAGGGAAAGTATACCCTAAAATCAAATTTTCACCAGTTGTAGTTTTCGGGGTGCTGAGTCGAATGGTCTTGGTCCGAGGAAGCTGAGACGCTCCCTTCCTCCTTTATTCCCAATCGAACTCGCGCACTTCCACCGAAACTGGATGACTGCGCCCTACTAGATAGGGATTTGTATGGAAAAAGTCACTAAAAACGCCGTTTCGTTCTTATAAAAGCATGGATGGCCGCGATTGGTCCATATGTGTAGTCTTTTGGCCGCTGAGTCGACTGGTTTTGGTCCGAAAAGGCTGAGATGCAGCGTTTGGCCCTTATTCCCAATCGAACAGGGTTGAGTAAGCGGTCACTTGCTCATGCGTACACCAGTCGCCTGGTCACCGTGCCTGCAGGCTACAATTTTCAAATCAAGGTTCAACTCAAAAGCTCAAAGCAGGGAGTCGTAAGAGGCTTTTGCGGCCTCCCTGGTTCAAAGATTCAACTCAAGTGACATAAACGGGCCCAAACAGGCTGTAAATGAGCACGTGACCGTGCAAGAGACCGATGTCATTTCGTATCTGGAACTGCACACGCGTTTGGATCGCGTTGTGGCAGACAATGAGTAGTGCTCTTGACTATGTGTGTGTTTGTGTGTGTGTGTGTGTGTGTGTGTGTGTGTGTGTGTGTGTGTGTGTGTGTGTGTGTGTGCGTGTATGTATGTGTATGTGTTTGTGAAAAACAGAAAGCTTCAGCTGCTAGTGCCGCCGCTGATACTGCCGCTCGAAGTTGCTGCGTTGCTCACTGCAACCTCTGCAATAGTTGTTTCCAATCCTTCAAGGCAAACTGCATGCATTCCTGCAACAACAAGTAGAGAATGAGGCAAGTTCCAGCATGCCTGTATCTGCTCTCACCTCCAGAGAAGTCTACTCTGCTAACTGCCATATCTGTTGCTAGAGTAATGTCCAGCTGAAACAAACAGATAATGCATAGAGGTAGAGATGTATCCTCCAAGGATTTTGAAATCGGGCATTAGGAAATAGTCGTCCTGTAGCCGACCTGGGGCCGTACCACCCTCCAGAGGTAGAGATGTATCCTCCCAGGAAGTTGAAATTGGGCATTAGGAAATAGTCGTCCTGTAGCCGACCTGGGGCCGTACCACCCTCCAGAGGTAGAGATGTATCCTCCCAGGAATTTGAAATTGGGCATGAGGAAATAGTCGGTCCTGTAGCCGACCTGGGGCCGTACCACCCTCCAGGACCTGGCTCCGGTCCTGCTATGAATTTTGAGAGAACGGCAATCGATTGAACATTTTTGCATTTTCTGCGATCTGTGCTGAGAGGCGACAGTTCATGGAAATTGGATTTACCCAACTTCAGGGCACGCAGCATGTGCCAAGTCGGGCACGAAAAGATTTGATTAGTTTCAAGCTAGGTACAGTGAAATGGCTCGAGGAGACCGATGTCATTTCGTATCTGGCACTGCACTCGCGTTTGGATCGCGTTGTGGCAGACAATGAGTAGTGCTCTTGAGTACCGCGCATTTCAAAAATCTAGATGCGTGATTTCAAAAACTTGTTAGGCCAGCATCTATACCACATAAAATCTGTGATCATTTTGTCCACAAAAAATCCGAAATTGGGCGTTTGTTATCTGATCACTACAACATAATAATAATTGGGGGAAGGACTTGAGACATATTCTGAAAAAATGTTCTCAAGAAGCTCCAGTCAAATTTGAAATATTACCATGCGTCTATGTATTTTTGATATGGACTGTAGTTGGAACTTCTTGTAGTCCTCTCACAAAGATCTTCGCAATGAGTCCAAGATCTCCAAATTGGTGAAACGAGAGAGCGTGGAAGCGCATGGCCCTAGCGAGAGTCAACTTTCTCTTTGCATTTGAGGGCAATACGACACCGTCTAACACCTTCATGACCTAGGCAAGAAAAGCATAGGGATGTTATACAATTTTCATTTCTCCTACTTTTTTAGACATAACGTAGGATTCGAACCCGCACAGGCACTATACTATCGCCCTGCATGCATTCCCCCTATACACTTTGCATACATACTCATTCTTCCAAGTTGCTTAACATTATGATCTTGCATTTGAAAGCCCTATTTGAATATCGTGGACTGCTGTCTTTGATGGTACGGAACGGGACAGGTACGGGATAGCGCGAGGCATGCCGATGCTGTCCTTGATGGTACGTTACGGGACAGGTACGGGATAGCGCCAGGCATGCCGATGCTGTCCTTGATGGTACGGTACGGGACAGGTATGGGATAGCACCAGGCATGCCGATGGCACAAACAAAAAAACACAAAATTAAAGCTGTGTGGACCCTGGCTAGCGCCAGACGGTACTGAAGTAACGTCTTCTGCATAGCTACGGGAATATAACCAAAATATATGGTGGATATTGATTGCGTATCTTCATGATTGCCACAATTGTTTACAGGTAGGAAGCAATACTATTATGTACTGTAAGGGTCGACCATTCATTACCGGATTACTAGCACAGCATGCACCAGAAGTACAAATCTCAGCACAATTTTCAACTTCACCAGTTCACAACTTTAGTCTCCTTCGCTTGATTTTAACAATCTAGGGCTCGTTGGAAAGCTCTTTGATCGAAAGTCTGCAGGCCGGCAATAAAGGGCTAAAAGTAATATGTAAAGAGAAAAGGACCTGTAAGAAAGGGTTTGCTCCCCACACCGGAGCTCGCGCTATTCCGTTAAAGGACCTACTAGTAAAATTTATTAGCTATGGCTAATAGTCCACCAATAGTCCACCAAGGTAATGAGACAATAATATACAAACACATCGTTCCCCTCTTTATGTGTTTGTTTTACATACCTTTTAGCCTCCCAAGTTGGCTGGTCTGTTGCCTTGCGTTTTCGAGTTGTAGTTAGACCGGTTTGTCCAATGGTCTTACTAGTCTCATCATCATCATCATTCTGTAGTTCGACATTCTTTGTTGCCGAGGGACATTGCTCATGCACATCTTCGTGGCGCATCCCTTTCCCTCATTGGAACTTTCCGCACCTGAGCCTTTCCAAGTTGGAAGGTTGTTTTTTTGCGGCATGGACAAAAGGCATCATGGGTATGGGTGTGGGCGTGGATCAGATTGCAAGCGTTGCCGCCGTACTTCTGAGATTGTTGCATTCCGGGTGTGCTAGCTCCACTTTCTCTTGTTTTCCTTCTGTCTGTCTGTGACTCTTCATCTCATTGTTCTCTCTCTCTTTTGTCTCACTGTCTGTCTGTGACTCTCATCTCATTTTTCTCTCTCTTTTGTCTCACTGTCTGTCTGTGACTCTCATCTCATTGTTCTCTCTCTTTCTCTCACTGTCTGTGTGTCTGTTTCTTTTTCTCTCTCTCTCTCTCTCTCTCTCTCTCTCTCTCTCTCTCTCTCTCTCTCTCCAGGTGAAAACAAAGGATCTGGGGCTGAGCTTGTGAAGCGGCGTAAGGAAGAGAAGGCCAAGAACTGGGGATTTAGCTCTGCCGCTGTTGGGTCTGATCTAGGATTTAGATCTGCCGCTGTTGGGTCTGATCAGGGTATTAGCTCAGCCTCCCGCGGAGTTGATCAGGGAATTGGCTCTACCTCTGGCGGAAATGATCATTTCGAGGACGCCCACGACGATGACAGTTTGTCCAGTGTTTTGTCCAGTGTGTGTGTGCTCCAGCGATACTTGCTCCCAAAGCTGGAATCTTCCTATTGCTGGTGCGACAATCAAGAAATGTGCCATGTAAATATTTCGTCATATTTCACTCCTCATGCTAGGGCTATATGGACTGTTTGTATTTGACTCCTTTTTAGGGATCAAAAGACATGTTTTGGGTTGTCTTGGCAACAATCTAGTATTGACTTTTGTTAAAAAAAAGTAAAGTTCTCACTTCCGAGTTACCACCGGCTATGCAATTCAATTGTATTGAGAAACACAACCAGCTTAGGAAGTTTTGCGTGTGCTACGCCCCAGTGACCGGCAAGGGGGCAAACCTCGCTGCCTTCGTACTAATCAATATTATAATAATTATTATAGGCTTTTCCGCGTTGGCATGGCCGAAGCAAGCTTGCAATGGCTAGCCTTCACATAGATCTACGCTGCTCCATCATGACGTGACGAAGCAATGAATGCTCGTATAATTATTCTACGATCTAGGACAGAACCAAACCAAGTCAAAAATAAGAAAATATAAAGCCATCAGTTGCCTGATGATCGTACGCCGGACGCTCGTAGTAATACGTAAAACTCAGAGTTGTGACACAGCCTCCAATCTCTCTTGTGTACTATAAGAAAATAGAAACCTCGTAAAAGACCCCGGTTTCACCTCTTTCTTTTACAGTACTCGGCTTTTTTCATATGGATAGCGGCAAGGGCTGGATGCAAAGCGGTAGTGGCCGAGTATGAGTAACTGGAACGTGTTTCCCGTGTGCACCCAAGCCAAAGGCAAAGAGCATGCATGCACCCAAGTAATATTTTTTAAGCCTCTTATACGGGCAATCACAGAACATGATTTCACTGGCCTGACGCAACAACTACAAAGCAAAACATAACAAAAAATTTAATAACCGCAATCAATAAAATTAGCTGAACCGACATTTGTGTACTTTATTCATGCAATGTAAAAAAACGGTGGAGAGGATGTGCAATAAAACGATGAAAATATGAAGAAATGGTGTAGAGAAAAGAATAATATATATGGATTTAAAGAAGTTTTCGTACAACACTCATCAGGAATCGTCGTTGTACTAAAGGACACTGAAACAAAAATTGAACTATTATAGAAAATCTAAGTTAGATAAATAACACTAAGAACAAAAGCAATGAAATTTACAAGTGTGAATTTTAACAATCAAAGCGAGAAATAAGTAAACATGATTGTTTTATTGCACATCGTCTCCACCGTTTTTACATGCATGAATAAAGTACACAAATGTCGGTTCAGCTAATTTTATTGATTGCGGTTATCAAATTATTGTCTCCTCGCCGTGTGTTTAAAAAATTTAAATAAAAATAAAATCAAACTTTACAATCTGCACACAATGACAACTCCATTTTTAAGATGGTCTCTGTTGATCAGTCGGTATCCGTTACCCGTGTTAGCTAGTTGCCAACAAGGCGGGCTTCGGCAACAGGAACATCTAGAGAGGCGTCATCCATCCCCTATGCCAGGGAACTGGTGAGCGGGGCCCCCCGCAGACACATGATGTTAGCACGCAGTAGAGCAAAGGCTCCGGATAAGCGAGATATGGGTATGATACCCAACCGATCGACGCTCCTCCATAAGGACAGCAAGTCGCCGATAGAACGCAATAGCAGCACTGCCCATAACACCAGTTGTTGCCTGGACAAGTGGAGTATTGTATTATTATTATTATTATTTGTATTGTATTTATGGGGAAGTATACCCTAAAATCAAATTCATTATTTCACCAGTTGTAGTCTTCTGGGTGCTGAGTCGAATGGTCTTGGTCCGAGGAAGCTGCGACGCTCCCTTCCTACTTGAATCCCAATCGAACTCGCGCACTTCCACCGAAACTGGGTGACTGCGCCCTACTAGATGGGGATTTGTATGAAAATGTCACTAAAAGCGCCATTTCGTTCTTATAAAAGCACGGATGACCGCGATTGGTCCATATGTTGTAGTCATTTGGACGCTGAGTCGACTGGTTTTGGTCCGAAAAGGCTGCGATGCAGCGTTCCTCCTTTATTCCCAATCGAACATGGTTGAACAAGTGGTCACGTGCTCCTGGGTGCCCAAATCACCTGGTCACCGCGCCAGCAGGCGACAACTTTCACACCAAGGTTCAACTCGAGTTCAACTCGAATGACAGGACTGCACCCAAAAAAGGTCAAACAGGCTAGTAAGTGTACCATGGTGTACCCTGCAGGCACGGTGACCAGGTGACTGGTGTACGCAGGAGCACGTGACCGCTTGTTCAACCATGTTCGATTGGGAATAAAGGAGGAACGCTGCATAGCAGCCTTTTCGGACCAAAACCAGTCGACTCAGCGTCCAAAAGACTACAACATATGGGCCAATGGCGGTCATCCGTGCTTTTTATAAGACCGAAATGGCGCTTTTAGTGACATTTTGCATACAAATTGTATTGTATTGTATTGTATTGTATTTGGACGAGGTAGTGGATTCGGCGTGCTGAGTGGTGTTGGCGACCAAGATGTTCTTGGACCAGCGCAGTACCCTGACCCTATTGTAAATTTTTCTGACTTGAAAATTCAAAAATCGGATTTTGGTGTGTCTTGCCATTCAGAATACATACTTTTGTCGCTACATCATCTAAACGGTTGCGGAGATATAGGCTTTTCAAAAAATTGAGCCAAAACTACGACAAATCTAAAATTCAGTCAGGCACCAAAAGGATTCTCCAAAAGCAAATGGATGCTTATCACGGAAGTCTCCCACATAAATATCGCAAGAAAAATGGGGAAATGGGGGAGAGGAGAGTGGAAGATGAAGCATGGGAAGAAGGGAAACAAGTACCTAAATATCGAGGTATAAAAGCAGGAAAGAAATCGACGAGGGAAGAAATCACCTCTGCAGATAAAGAGATAATAGCGGGACATTTAGATGAAAAAAAACCAGCAAGGATTAATTTCAAGGAAAAAAATTTCTCAAACGGAAAAGTTCGGAATTCCAGTCAGAGAATATCTATGCTGTGAGTATTTGTATTTTGTATTTATATCATTATCTCATGGCACATCATGATGACGGCCAATAAAACTGAGACAAGGGTGAAAGCCAACCACAGCAGTAAAACAGATAAAAGAATACAAATAAGAGGCAAAGAAGGCAAAGGAGGAGACAAACCAGCAGGATATACATGAAACCTATAATTGAGCAGAGATTTTAGCAACAAAATTATCCATCGACGTGCTGGTCTTGGCCTGCGTTGGTAATGTTGCCCAAAACACATAGCCAGCAAAGATCGGGGATCTAGTGAATAGGGTGGAGGCAGCGCGTGGGAGACTGAGTGAGTTCCGGGTATTCCGTGTTTCGGAGAACCAATTATAAGCCTGCATATGCAAGGGTATTTTATTTATTAATATTTTATGTATGAGAACACAGAGGTGGTACTTATGTCGAGTGGAAAGGGGACTGATCTTGGCAATTTCGTAAAGACTAGCGGAGGGAAAGCGACGATCTTTGCTAAATAAGATTTAAAGGAGCATGCGGTTATGGGTTTCTAGCTTGTTCAATACAGTAGTAGTTATGCCAGACCAAGCAGTATCACAGTAGTCAAGTAAGGGCAATATATAGCAACGATAAAACAAGCGTTTGCAAGAAAGAGGAAGATGTCTACAGTGGGCTTGAAGAGCCCCAAGGATGGAGCTTGTTGTGCGCTTGCAGACATACTGCACATGGGGTGACCACGACAATTTAGAGTCAATATTAACGCCAAGATGCTTATGCTCTTCAACAATACGAATAATGAGCCTTTAGAGCAATGCGAAAATTGACAGAGGACTGAACGCAGCGGATGTGTTCTGGAAGTTTGTTCCATTCCACAGATAAACTGAAAATCCCCATCTAGTAGGGCGCAGTCACCCAGTTTCGGTGGAAGTGCGCGAGTTCGATTGGGATTCAAGTAGGAAGGGAGCGTCGCAGCTTCCTCGGACCAAGACCATTCGACTCAGCACCCAGAAGACTACAACTGGTGAAATTTGTTTTTAGGGTATACGTCCCCTTTAAAAGGATTTTCCAAAAGAAAATGGATGCTTATCACGGAAGTCTCCTACATAAAAAAAACAAGAAAAATGGGGAAATGGGGGAGAGGAGAGCATGAGAAGAAGGGAAACAAATACCTAAATTGTTGTGATCTCGAACTCGTCAGTCACTGAACTGATTTTATTGTAAAGAAGACACGAACTTATAGAGTGTGAATAAGAGTATAGCGAGATAGAGAGCGGTGGATGGAGAGCCACTGGACAGCTGGATAGTGTATCAATAAGCGCTCGAGGGGAAGGCTAGACAGTATGTCTCTAGACATCAATAGGTATTGTACGAAAGGCCAGTCAATAGCACTAAGGAGTGAAGTCAACTACAACACAGACAATAGCTTCAGTCAATCATGACAGGCATGATACGGATGATATAACATAAATATCGAGGTATAAAATCAGGAAAGAAATCGACGAGAGAAGAAATCACCTCTGCAGTTAATAGCGCGACATTTAGATGAGAAAAAAACCCCAGCAAGGATTAATTTCAAGGAAAACAATTCTCAAACGGAAAAGTTCGGAATTCCAGTCAGAGAATATCTATACTGTGAGTAATGAGCCTTTAGAGCAATGCGAAAATTGACAGAGGACTGAACGCAGCGAATGTGTTCTGGAAGTTTGTTCCATTCCTCAGATAATCTGAAGAGAGGGGATTTCAGGAAATGGGCGCCAGAACGAGGTAAAACTATAGAGGATGGGTGACCACAACTAAGAGATACATTGAATTTGAAACGAATTAGCAAAGACGGAAACTGGTAAAAGACATGATGAAAATACGCAAGGACAGAATCTGACGACGCCACTTCAGGGATGACCACAGTGAAACCCGACATCTCCACCTCTCGCACTCGTTCAGCATAATGGCGTCGCTTCTCAGCTTCGTGCTTGTTTAAGGCAGATTGGATGTGTGCCGACCGGTTTGAAGCTGCATATGGGTTGAATATCCTTACTACAAAAGAGCAGCGTTCAAACCGTCCGCCCCACACCCCGCCTGCCACAATGTAAAGCCGTGCCTGGTCAGTTGATATTGCCGTCCGATGGCGAAACCGCTCACCAGTGATCGGCTGAAGATGAGGCTCCACCGCAACGTTATTTGCCACTCTCCGGAGCATGCTGGCGGTGACGTCACGTACCTCATTGTGGCGCAATGTTTGAAAGCCACCATTTGGGCAAGATAAGGCGTGGCACAGATCGAAACTGGCCCCACAGGCACAGCTACTGGGAAGACCAGTCAATAGCCAGCCATACCGAAGGGCAATGCCGTCTCGGAACTCACCCTTCGTCAGAGCGAATCCGTGGCACTTCATCGGTCGGCAAGTCAGCCAACTGGACGCTCCTGGCTGGGAGGCCAATTGGCCAGAATAGCAGAGTTCTGGCGGTGCCGCCGCAAGGAAATAAAGCACTTTGTTCTTCATAGAACGTCAGTTCGCTGCCGACAACTTCCGCTTCGCGGAACGAAC